GCCTTAGAAATATTTACTAAAAGATAAAAATATAACTATTATGTGTCTCATCAATGTATAGATCTTGAGTGAATGAATAGCATCAACAATAAAATTAATATTGGTAGTCTTTACACTAGAGCCTAAATAAGCTAAGAAATATTTCAAGACAATAAATTTCAATTACTTCAAGTAAAATAAAGCTTCACACATAATCAATTCTTTTTTACTTCAGGTTAACTTAAGGCTATTTTCTCATGCAACATAATTAAGTTAGACTGACATGTTAAGCCTTTCTCAAAGCTCAAGAAACCGCAAGTCAGCTAAGTCGGTTTTAAGGATTGTTTTCAAGTCACTTGAAACTTTCTTGAATTGTTCCAACTTTCCGACTTTGATGAGATGCAAAGTAAAGTTACTTGAGATGTTACTTGGGCCTTCACACACGAATTTTTGGTTAAGTAAAGCTTAGCAGCTCTTAAGTCTTACTTAACAGCCTAGTGTAAAGACAACATCTCCATGTGTGACCACCTATCATAATCAATCACCTCCCATAAGTGACCACACCTACATGTATCTGAAATGCCAAAATTTTCCTAGTGCAGTGTGCAAAGGAAGTAGTGTCTGATAGCCCAGGGCTAGTGGATTTTGTTGTCGGGCTAGTGAATTCTGTTCTCAACTTGCCCGATGTGCAAGTGAGGTTTTTCGGGAAATTAAAATTACAGAAGAATTGTAATTAATCCTGCTCATCAAAAAAATTTGGGGGCAGGTTGGAATGGCTTTTGGGCTAGTACAAATGAGCTACTGCTTGCCCTAATGGCAACCTGTGAAACTGACTTTCTTTGCACCCTGTAGTGAAATCACTACAGTTGGAACCTCTCGTAAACAAGCACCTCTCAAAAGCAACTGCGACCACTTTTTTCTCTTGTTTTTATCCTCCCGTGATTGACCACTTAAGGCCTAGTTTGATCTCCGCGTTTTTTGTATGTACTACACTTCTAAGAGAATGCGATGTACTTTTAGTGTCTTGTAATTTGATTCGTATAACTTTGAATCTTTGACGTACATTACTTAAGAGAGCGTTTACATCGACTGACACAGACCCGGAGAAAATCTTTCCCTGGGAGACACCCAGTTAAGAGTATTCCCTGGAGACAATCTTCACATTTTGTGTGGTAGCTTATCCCTTTAAGTCCCAATAGTGATCAACATCAATTTTCTCCTAAAGATATCCGTACATTGGCAAGAGAAAAGGTTATGAGAGTTTATAAAATGATCACCAAAGAGAAAATACCTTGATCTTTTATCAAATTCTCTCAACTCATTATTGAAGGAAATGTATAGAGATCAGTTTGGAGAATTTGTATGTGGATATTGGGGCTTAAAGGGTTATGGGAGGCTTGACTGTATTGTTATCACAAAAACTTTTTGTTATGGCCATTTGTCTGAAATAACAAGTTATGTACAATATCAAGTTTCCTATTCCTTTTCATTCTAGCCTGTCACTGTGTAACTCTTTCACTGCCAGAGTGCATGATAGGGTTTTGTAAGGTGACTCTAACTTTTGAGTCTGTGGATGAAATCCTGTGATGTGACCACTCAAATGAAAGCTCTCTGCCTGTACTTTCACATGATGCTATTTGTTTGCCAAAATTTTAGAAAACGAAATTTGCCTTTGGCCACATTTGGCAGTGAAAGGGTTAAAGACTAAGACTCAACTAACCAACTTGACATTGTTGAAAATTAGTGTCAGATAAGGCAATAATTTCAATGGTATACGTCACTTTGCTTTATTTGCAGGTTTCGTTCTCAATCCAGACCCGGAGAATAGACCAGATATTTTTCAAGTTTCCTATGCAGCCTTTAAACTCAGAGGTCTTGACTGTCCTGTCCCTAATGTTATGGTGTGTTGGCATTTTTCTCCTTATTTGGTCAAACAGAAGGGTATTTAGGTAGAACTATGTGTATTTAAGCAAAATGGAAAGATTAATAGAAACTGCCCCCCCCCCCCCTCCCACCCAAAAAATGTGGGGTAGCGTTAATCAAATCGGGCACTCTATGTTTTTCTTGCAATTTCTGCTTATTTGCAATAACAATTAAATGAAGAAGATTTGCTGTGATTTTAAGTGAAGACCATGAATTGTGGAGACAATGTGATCTCACAACAAAAATAACCTGCTAACCTTACCTTTAGACATGATTCAATATAATTAGAGGATTTGTATAGGTAATAGCATGATTTGTAGTGATATTTGGCATAAATATCATGAGTGATATTTCAAAATTGTTATACGAAATTTCACGAGCCATTAGGCGAGTGAAATTTGAGACAATTTTGAAATATCACAAGTGGTATTTATGCCAAATATGACGTACAAATCATGCTATTATTTGTTTATACTACTACCCACAAAAGGTTTGTAATATTCACAGGTAGGTATTTCAAATTAACCTGAAATACCACTGCTCTAAGCCAATCAAATTGCAGAAATTTCTGATGTAGTAGTACTGTGTAACGTTCAAATGCCTAAAATGAACCTCTTTGGCAGATCTGTTGGAAGGCATTACAACAAGAAATGTTGAGGTTTTTGTGATTTTTTAGGTTAACATTTTTAAGGAAACCGATTTGGGTAGAAACTTTCGAAACACTAAAGACAGGGTTCGCACCCACCTTGAAAGTCCTTGAAAATTGCAGTGGGTGCTGGAAAGGTCTTGAATTCTAATGCTAACTTTATAGTTTAAGTAGAACTTCAAAGAGAAAGGAGAAAACACAAAGACCTTCGGGATAAAATTACTCATGTTGTGTAAGAACTAAAAAAGACATAGACTTACGTTTGATGGGTCCGTGCGTTCAAGATCAAATTAGGAGAAGGGAAATCCTAGGTTTGATTAAATGATTTTTGATGTGATAACCAATTGTTTTTCTTCATTAACTGATTTTTGTCGCTGTTTGTTTACATCAGAATGCAAAAATACCAGACACACTTCCAGAAACGCAATCTGTTGAGGAACAGCAAAAGGGTGAAAATGCTGCTCGAACAGCTGCTGCTAAAACAAAGTAAGGATGAATGATACTCGGTGCATATGTATATTGTTGCGACTAATCTCATAATCAGAGCTTAGCTACAAGACAATTTGTTATCGGAGATGGGGTCTTGCCTGGAGGTAGCAGGGGTGGTCACCAAGCCATTATCAAGCAAAGCAAAGTACTAGTAAACTGACTTGGCCACAGTGGGTCTTTGATTTCTTATATCCCTGATGGGGCTAAAAATGTCGGAAACGATGGTTTTGTGTGTTGGTTATTTGAAGTACCAAAATTAGTATTCCAAATTTGTTCATTTTTATAGGCGACATGAAGGACCAGTCACTACCTCTCTTGCTCCTCGTCAACGCCCAAGGGCAGGCCAAGGTCCTCAGCAACTGGCTACTCCTCAGGCTTCCTCGCGCTTAAGCCACATTGCTAGTCCTCAGCAGAATCGCAAACAGTACTCTCATGTACAAAGAGGTAATCTTGACGTTGAGAGTGCTCATGGCTTGAGCCACATGGCTAGCCCGAGACAGAACAGAAGGAACATTCCACCACAAGGACCAGAGAACTCCGCAGCTCATCAGCAAGTCCATACAAATATGGCCCGACAAGACCCCAGAGCTGTTTCTGCTGATCAAGCGGCTTCAGCGGTACCAGATCTGATGGATGTTGGCCAGCACCCATCAGCAGCAGTGTACCGTGTGGTAGCACAGCACGGGCAGCAGCCGTATCCTTACCAGCAGCAGATGACGAGGGAGCAATACCTACAGCAGCAGTATCTTCAACAACAGCAGTTGGCTCAGCAACAGTATTTGCAGCAGCAACAACAGCATATGTTGATGCGTCAACAACAACAACGATTGCTCCAGCAGCAACAGCAACAGCTGCTTCAGCAGCAGCAGATGCTTCAGGAACAACAGCAAGCTCAGCGACAGTTGAATTACCAGGTGGAAGGTCCACCAGCCCAGCAATACCAACCTACCCAGCCACATCACGTCCAACAGCAATCTAAGTTCAATCCGCAGATGTATCAAGACACTGATCAGTGCCCACTGAACCCATTTTACGAATATCAACAGTATCCAACCTCCGGCGACGTACGGTACCACGACTACAATGCCAATCAACCGCAAGTAACATTTCAACAGCCTCAAAATGCTCAAGAATTTCCTCAACAAGCAAAACCCGATAATAGCAATAACAGATTATTGAGACCCCGCTACATGTCTCATAATCGGTCTAGGTCTGACCCTAACTTTGCGGTTCATTATGATAGAAGCAATCAAGTTAAAATGCCATCTGTTACCCCTCAACCCAACGCAAGCAGCTCAAATCGTTCCCACTATCGAAGCCCTAGTGACCCTGCTCTCAACCAATCAAAAGAACCAGAGGCTGAAGTGCTTCTGGTAAACATTGAGTCAAGCGATGAACCCACGCCGCACTGGAATCCTTTTAGTCCATATTATGAGTCAAACGAGTTGGACTTTACAGCCAACCAGAACGATGTAACCGATGATGACTTCGCGTCACTGCGTGCAAGAAACGAAAAAATTTCTCAAACCGGAACAAATTCTAGTTTTCAGCCCAATGTCGAAAGTCATCAGCCGAATGCTGCCTATCATCAAGCCAGTGTTGGCTTCCATCAGACCACTGCTGGATATCAACAGCCCAGTGCCGGTAATAGAACATCTGAATTTCTTCAAGGGGCTACTACGGATATTTTTGGATCTGCCACATTTGATAGCCAAGTAGCTGAGTTGCAGCAAGGTTTGAGAAGTAGCTTGGAAAATTTACAATTAGTAGATGTTCCTGCCGGGTTTGGAGACAATAGCATTTTTCCTCAACAGCAACAAGCAACGGAGATTGTTCAAGATGGAAACAATCCTTTTCTTCAAGGCTATCGTTCCACTGAAATTGAGCGACATTTGAACTTTGCAGGGGAGGTGTCAAGTGAAGACGAATCAGAGGAAGCTAATGAACCGGAATATTCTGGTTTCCCCCCACCCCCCTCCCCTGGTGTAGCAGATCCTTTCGGCTCAGCACCATTCGTCGTCCAGAAAGCTATGCAGGTCCCGCCAACCACAAGAGATGCATTTGGCTCGTCCCCATTTAATGCCCCACACCCATCACAATCAAAAGGGGTTGATTATCAGTTGAATAATGTACAGCTGTCTGAGCAACAAACTGATACCTCCGGTCATGCGAGCTCTTTCACTTCTACGCAAGGTTCTGGTGTCGGAATGGCCCCAGTACCGTTTCATGTTGAAGGAGACGTTAGTAACTCTTGTCCGTTTGTCGGGAATGTTACTGAGCATGAAGATCCATCAGGCTTAGTTAATCCCGCTGTTGATTTTGTAGACAACATAGACGATCCATTTGGCGGAGTATCTTTTAACGCTAATCCAGCCTTTAAGCGAAGAAACGCCAAGAGACAAGGAGGAGCCTTAAGGAAGGGGCCTCCGGAAGCTGCCCCAGTTGGTGATCAGGGTCCTCGTTCTCGACCCCGGCGACTTTTGCCCCAAACACCGGACAAAACCCCTGGTGTAACTCATGGTGGTCAGCGGGTTGCTAGTGGACAGACTAGGACCCAGAACATTAGAGTTATTTCAGTCATACCATCCGCAAGTTCAGTGCGGGCGCCTGGGAAATATGAGCCAAAGTCAACCGGAAATAGACAAACAAATGCGGCCACGTGACTCAGGAGTAAACTAGAAATGTACAACTTATTACCCTTTCTTCTCAAATCAGAAAATCAGTTATTCTCGATGTTGACTAGAAAAAACACGAGCGAATTCAGAAATCGCTCTGTTGAGTTGTAAAAAAATAAGTATCTTAAAATTCTCTGCGCAGGCTCGAAAGACAAACCGTTTCGGAAATAAAAATATCGAGCGAAGTCGATGTTATTCACTATGATTCGCGACGGCTGTTGTCGCGTGATTAATGTATGTCATCCATTATTAGCTTCTTACGCAAACTTTCCTGAGTCTTGTCACGTATTCTATTCTGTCTCGTCGTGTGACACCCTAAAAGGAGACTTGCGCATGGACGATTCAGTCGTACCATGGCTTGCAAACAGCGAGTAAGTACTGCTAATCTAAGCGAATCATTTTAACTCTTCAAAATGTGAATGTTTTCAAATTGTTTGAGACTAAAAACAGTTACCCGTGGCGGGCGTTGACTCAAATGGTCCAGCAGGGATTTAACCTTAAAAAGCGATTTTTTTTTCTCATTCACTTGTTGCGTCGACTATGCATAGTAGTAATGATACTGGAAAGTATTTAGAGAAGTTTTATCGTCTATCCGTTCTGGTAGTTTTGGCTGTGAAGTTACGCGAAGCTTTTATGGAGAACCATCGCGCTCCAATGGATGTGTTTTGTGACAAGCCAATTACATGTAGGTAAGTAGATGTTTGAAATTTAGCGCAGAATGTTGGATTATGAAACAGTTCATTGTGCTGGACACAGTGTGCTAACTCAAATTACCGTCGAGTTTGACTTGAAGTTACAAAATGTACGTTCAAAATGTCCTTGTTACAAAGCTTAACTACACTGGCGCTAAACGACAAAAACTACTTTTTTATGCAGATAAAGAAGTTCACTGTGGTATTGAGGAAGAAATAGAATTTGGTCAGCTTGTTGCGACTTGCTGTCAAATTGATTTGTTTTTTTTAATGCTATTCTTTTCTATCACCTTAATCCGTTGACAAGTATTTGTAACTTTTTACTTAAAGAATGAATGGTCGAAAATGCAGGTAGAAGCCACTTTTCGTTTGAATGGACGTTGTCGAGACAACGACCCGCCCCACCGCCACGTTACTAACTGAAATTTCATCGGAAGTACCAGACGAAGGCTCTTCACAACTACACTGAGGGATTTGAACCATGCAGAGATTTCTGAAACTACGTGAACTTTTTTCTACAATAAAAGAGGAAATATCGATGATTGTGAATTAGCCACGTTTTGATTGATTTTAGGGACGTCAGTATAGTTGCTTGTAAAATAAAATATATCAGCTCTAAGCTGTAACGTTAATTGCCTGATATTCTTGAATTAAGTGTTGTCAATACCAGTAGCAATCTGATCCTGCGTCAACGTGGCAGTTTTAGATTTAAAATAAAATGATTATATGAAATAATGAACATTACCGCTTATGGACGACAGAGGCTTTTTGATTTTAATCTTTTCGGCACTGTTAAAGAAGCGCAAATGAATAGCGGTGAGACCTCGGTAATGTATGAAAGTAGTATTTTCTTCTGAGGTGTGGACATTTATTTACTTATTTTGGTGGTTCGTATGACCAAACACATTAATCGTTCCTTCCATTCCCTTGACCTGACCGACAGTTTTGGAAAAGAAATAAAAACAATAGCAACTGCAGTATCTCAAAGCAAAAAAGATTACCAAGCCGTTCCTTAACACAATGTATTGTTTACTCTTATGCGGAACCAATTATTCCAACTACCGCTTACAAGCAATGTGTTAGATTCTGGGATTTTACACGTTCGAATAAACTGGATACCTCCGACATTACAAGTCACTGATTACTTATTTCAAAGCTATAAACGTTCGCAGAACTAAATTTGGCAACAACATTAGTTTTTATAAGTCTGATAAAACACTTCCACCTCGTGGGGTTGGAAATTGTAGCTTCCAGCGAGCAGGCTTTGAGTGTCACTCGCTCCATATTTGTAGCCTGATACTTGCACGTAGTTGTAACCCAAATTAGAGTACGAGTTGGTGTTGGAACCTGCACCATCAGCGATGTAAATATCATGGCCGCTACCAAATGTTGGACCGTAGCCACTGTTTCCATAGATACCATGCTCATAGTTTTTGATGTGAAGCTTGAAAGGCTCCAGTCCATCTTTATTTTTAAAGGAAAATAGGAAACCATGGACGGAATGTGTGTAGGAGCCGCTAGAATCTGCAACAAAATTATCAGTTGCGTCAGATATAAATTAAAAGATTAACTTGACTCGCCGAATAACGACTGCACTGGGCTGCCAAAGTCTAGACTATATACAGAAATATTGTACTTTAAGAAAACGATGAGTTAACCAGAACAGTCAGCGGACAGCTTATAAAAGAAAAACAGCCCATTAAACCCATCCCGATCCAAGGGCCTTATTATAAATAGATGATCATACATGATAATCTATAATTTATGGTCTACTCGAAAACCCATTGTGCAACAAGATAAAAACATTTGTTGGTTTTGAAGATTCTTTCCTATTTACTTGTTATCTTTCTTCAACTTATTAAAAAAAACTTTCAGATTGTTTCTCCTTCGCTTTTTCAAGGAACCAGTTTTTGAAAGCTGATGTTCTTCTTTCCTTCAATATACCTATACAACCCATGATACAGTAGCTTATAACCACTACTTACGCCAGTTTCGGTCAGTGTATCCCCCGAACATATACTCTCCCACCCTCACAAAGGTCACTGTGGGACCCAGGCCATTGCACTGCGAGTGAAATGTGCTGGAACTCCATCCATGGTCCGTAGCTCGGTAGCAGAGCTTCCACTTAGATGGCAGTGTAGATACAGGCTGCAACCAACCTTTCAGCACCTCCCAGTATTTGGTTTTGTTACCGAGGATCGTCGATGGATCAAACTCTGGCCCTGTAGAATCAAGGTGAAAAACATCAAACTCAGTTCAACTCAACTTCAACTTTATTCATTTCACTTCTGCAAGTTGCAGCTGTGACTGCTTTTAATTTATTCACATTCTTTCGTACAGATTTAATCCAATCAGAAGCCAGCTGGAAACTGTCCTCGACTTCTGATTGGTTAATGTCCACGTGAAAGAATGTGAATTAATTAAAGGAGGTCAAACTTTTGTACTCCTTGCTGTAAAGATTTCTTAGCATAATCTCGCCTGGGTAAGCTAGTAACTTATACCCATTCCAGAGACGGAAATAACCAATACACGGGGTCAGCACATTACTCTAAATTAGTAAAATGTCTTCGACATTGATTTAGATTTTAAAAATATGGGTAAGGAATGTTGTGCTGACAATTGTTAATATCAATATATAAACTTGAAATTAAATGCGCATGCAACTGTGTAAAGGAGACGCTGGTACAAAACTTTAAGCATGCATTTCATCCACGCATCACTTACACGATAAAAACTATACCTTTTTTCAAGACTTCTTGACAAGGTATCATGTATAAGTAAAAAAGTCTTTCTCTGACCGTTATCTTTACCTTTTCTTAAATTTAGAAAAAAATCCGTAAGACAGTGGTATTATCTCAGTGAGTTTGTATTGAGATCAACCGGTATCTCCTCAACCAGTAATTTTAATGTCTCACTCGAACACTTGAAAGAATGTTATTATTTTTTTCATCAAATACAAAGTAATAAGTTATTTTACAAACTTTATGCAAATACCCTACCCGGACCTAGTGATTACACTAATGAATTCCAAAGATAGCTTTGTTAATTTACGGGTGATGAACTTTGTCTCATGATAAATTAATTTACGTGATAGCTTACTATCACTTCAGAATGATGACACTTAATTTTTACTAGGAATGTATTGTTTTTTGGCCCTATCCTTTTGCACTGTAATCATCTATAGTCATGCTAACAAAAGGTTGTTGTTGTTGTTGTTATTGTTGTATTGTGACCAACTCTTAATAACATACTAAACTGTAAATACAACTTTTTTGAGGATTGTCCTTGAGGATTGGGTTATACCTTCGCAAATTGGTGCTTCCACGGTCCAGTTTCCAGTCTCCCCATCACAAATCCTGACCGGCGGTCCCCTCAGCCAATAACCTTTGTTACATTTGTACGTGATATTTTTTCCTTCCCTGAAGTCATTTCCTAGAATGTATCCATTTTCGAGTGGAGGAGGTTCGTCACACAATCGGTGACCTAAAACAAAACATTGCATGTATCATGACCAAATATTTTCAAAAAAGCAAGCGAGACAAGTTTCTTTAGACGCACTCAACACTCCGTTTGGGAGAAACTGAAGAGAAACCATATTTTAACTACCTTGTAACGCTGTTCTTTAGTAGGAGCCATACAGTAATGATATAAAGGAGGGAGGTTCTCTCGACTTCGAATGTTAAAATAAAAAATATTACTGAGCCGTTCAAAAAACGGTTCATTCCAGTTTGTGGTGGCAATAAGCTCGTTTCTCTTGAGCGAGGCTTTTTTCTGGCTTTCTTATTTTCTCCTTAGTTCAGTTTCTTGTTTTATACATAAAAAAAACAAAACAAAACAAAACAATAAGAAGATACAATTGTTTATCATTATTATTCGCGTTTCCCATGGTATTCCTTATTACTGAAAGCTCAAATATGAGTATGGAATGAAAGACTTCATTTTATCACATGTTGGGGCCACATCGCTCCAATTGCCGTTTTCCTGACAGAGTCGGTTTGTAGGTCCTTCCAAGTGGTATCCTGTGTCACAAGTAAATGTAACCATCTGTCCTGCCCAGTAATTTGCTCCAGTCTTATAACCATGCACAGGCATACCAGGATCTCCGCAGCCAACAAGCTCTAAAATTAAAGAGATAGAGACCTTTTTTTTTAATCCTGTAAGGCTATCAATACGCATAGCTTTATTTACTTTATTTAGCAAGATCTATGCGATCCAAGACTTGTTGGACCCTTATACCAGCTCGAATGCGCTTATCTATACCACTATTAACTATTTTCACATTTTTCTAATCACTTAAATACTGTGTGTCAAGTTGTTACTAACGCTTTTTTTATCCCTTCGCGGATAATTTACCTCTTACTAATCATAATGGTACCTGCAATGGTTGAGGTCTCCGCAGTTCCGTTGTTGTAGTTCTTAAAGAAACAAGTGTAGACGCCCTGATCACTTGGACCAAATTTTGGAATAACAAGCTCTCCTGTTACTTCTTCTTCAGTCTCTGATGTTGTGTTGGCAGAAATGATAGCTTCATCTTTGCGCCACTCTAGGGTGGGGATGGGGGATCCCCGGGCCGCACATTGCAATGTTACTGTATCATACGCATTTTTTACGGCCACGAAGGGGGGTGGTGCGATAGTGATAACCGGAGGCACTAATAACAGAAAACGAAAAAACGGACTTTATATCCATAAAAGTACGTCTTACCATCAATGGATAAAATCAAATAATGCGTCTCGTAATAAATCAGATCGGAGTTTATTTCGATCCTCGTACACGGTAATGTTTATGTGAGTAAAGTTTGACAGGAACAAAGTGTCTATACAGGGGCCAAAAAACTCACTAAAAAAGTTAGTACGAATTTGTTTGAATTAACGTATTTCCAGTGTCAAGGGATATATAGTTGATAACGGCCAGTGTTTATTCGTACAGGACTAGATACAATATACTCAGGTTTTTCATAGAAGATCTGCTTGACAATGCAAACTATAGTATGTCATTTTGCTTCGTCCGTTTCTACGCCGAATTTTTTTTTGTCGCTGTTTTTGTTGTTATCTTATCTAAAACAAAAAAAGCAAAGTAATGGCATCGCGTGAGTATGGCTATTTTCTCGACCACTTACAAACAGGTTTCACCACAAGGACAATCAGCGCATACACGTGACCCAGGTTGTTATCTCCTCTGCACATGATTGGTCCTCTGTCTTCCCAGCGAGTTTCCTAGATAATGAGATCTTTCCCAGCCATCACGTGGCGACCATCAGATAATGTCCGGAATGACCGAGTCCATATTATTTCCGGAGGTGGATATCCAAAGATGTTGCACGTTAATGTCGTATCCCAGGTCTCGTATCCCATGTGATACACTTCGGGGGCTTCTACAAAGCGTGGCGGCACTGCAAAAGAAGTGTAAGATTATTAAGCATGGAATAAAAACAACCACCAAAAAGATATTATTCTGTTCGTAAATTAATTTTTTACGCAGATTTTGGAGTTACCGACCTGGTTATAGGCATTGATAGATTGTGTTCGCAAATTTAGCATAATATGCTACTGGCAGTGCTCGTTTCCTATAATAATGCTATTTTTTTTTTGTAAATTGTGCTCATTAGCAAAAAAATGGAGAAATTATGATTGCACTTTTTACTTTTTATTAATTTAAAGATTAGGTGAAAACATCGCAATTACTATGCAATAAACAAACAAACACATTTACCCCATTTACATTTAGAAACTTTAAGGGTGTATTATTTATTGCCTGACAACTAAAATAACTCATACAAACAATTGACAACCACCTCGCGGACGCCACCTTGGGTAACCGAGCTAGTTTAATACAGTCAAACCTCTTTAATACGGCCACCAAAGGGACAGAACCAAGTGTCCGCTTTACAGAGGTGTCCGTATTATAGGGTTGGGAATGTATGATTTTGACATTTCTGGGACCAAACGAACTGTCCGATTGAGGTGTCGGTAAGGAGAGGTTAGGCTGTATGTGCATCCATTGAGTCCGGTGTAAAGGTCCTGGGTCACTTCCTGTGGGACCCAGGTCCCATGAATATGACAATAAGGAGACCAAAACTTGATTTTTTTTTTTGCTTAAATTTGCCTGTAACGCTGATCTAGGGCCAAAAAAGATTGGTTGCATAATCAATAAAGGACAATTTTTTGCTACAAAAAATATGTTCCTGGCAAGGACGAATTATACCAAAAATTATGCTAGCAAAATCTATCAAAAGCCTACCTGAATACTAACCGTGTGAAGTTCTTGTTGTGTATGTTCTATATAAGATTTTTGCCACAATTTAAATGTACAGTTTAAAGTATAGTTTAGATTAGAGTCTCATACCTACTACAATAATCTCGACAGTCGCGGAGTCAAATCCCAAGAAATTCCTCGCCTCGCACTTGTACAAGCCTCTGTCGGCGAACTGAATGCTGAGAAACGTCAGCGTTCCCATGGCAGCATCGTAATTACTACTGTCAATCATTTTACCGTTCTTATACCAAGTAACCTCTGGCTTAGGGAAACCCTTTGAGTGGCATGGAAGAGAGATATTCTTTCCTTCTATTGTGGTGAGATTCGAAGGAGGTCGTTTCTTGATTCTGGGCAGCTCTATGAATATGAATTTAGATCACCTTTGTCAGTATGAAAGCAAATTAGCTGCAGCTCTTGTATTGCATTACTTCACTGAAGTAAACAAAATGGTTCTTTGATGTTGTTATTGTTGTATTGTGACCAACTCTTAATAACATACTAAACTGTAAATACAACTTTTTTGAGGATTGTCCTTGAGGATTGGGTTATACCTTCGCAAATTGGTGCTTCCACGGTCCAGTTTCCAGTCTCCCCATCACAAATCCTGACCGGCGGTCCCCTCAGCCAATAACCTTTGTTACATTTGTACGTGATATTTTTTCCTTCCCTGAAGTCATTTCCTAGAATGTATCCATTTTCGAGTGGAGGAGGTTCGTCACACAATCGGTGACCTAAAACAAAACATTGCATGTATCATGACCAAATATTTTCAAAAAAGCAAGCGAGACAAGTTTCTTTAGACGCACTCAACACTCCGTTTGGGAGAAACTGAAGAGAAACCATATTTTAACTACCTTGTAACGCTGTTCTTTAGTAGGAGCCATACAGTAATGATATAAAGGAGGGAGGTTCTCTCGACTTCGAATGTTAAAATAAAAAATATTACTGAGCCGTTCAAAAAACGGTTCATTCCAGTTTGTGGTGGCAATAAGCTCGTTTCTCTTGAGCGAGGCTTTTTTCTGGCTTTCTTATTTTCTCCTTAGTTCAGTTTCTTGTTTTATACATAAAAAAAACAAAACAAAACAAAACAATAAGAAGATACAATTGTTTATCATTATTATTCGCGTTTCCCATGGTATTCCTTATTACTGAAAGCTCAAATATGAGTATTGAATTAAAGACTTCATTTTATCACATGTCGGGGGGCCACATCGCTCCAATTGCCGTTTTCCTGACAGAGTCGGTTTGTAGGTCCTTCCAAGTGGTATCCTGTGTCACAAGTAAATGTAACCATCTGTCCTGCCCAGTAATTTGCTCCAGTCTTATAACCATGCACAGGCATACCAGGATCTCCGCAGCCAACAAGCTCTAAAATTAAAGAGATAGAGACCTTTTTTTTTAATCCTGTAAGGCTATCAATACGCATAGCTTTATTTACTTTATTTAGCAAGATCTATGCGATCCAAGACTTGTTGGACCCTTATACCAGCTCGAATGCGCTTATCTATACCACTATTAACTATTTTCACATTTTTCTAATCACTTAAATACTGTGTGTCAAGTTGTTACTAACGCTTTTTTTATCCCTTCGCGGATAATTTACCTCTTACTAATCATAATGGTACCTGCAATGGTTGAGGTCTCCGCAGTTCCGTTGTTGTAGTTCTTAAAGAAACAAGTGTAGACGCCCTGATCACTTGGACCAAATTTTGGAATAACAAGCTCTCCTGTTACTTCTTCTTCAGTCTCTGATGTTGTGTTGGCAGAAATGATAGCTTCATCTTTGCGCCACTCTAGGGTGGGGATGGGGGATCCCCGGGCCGCACATTGCAATGTTACTGTATCATACGCATTTTTTACGGCCACGAAGGGGGGTGGTGCGATAGTGATAACCGGAGGCACTAATAACAGAAAACGAAAAAACGGACTTTATATCCATAAAACTGGTACGTCTTACCATCAATGGATAAAATCAAATAATGCGTCTCGCAATAAATCAGATCGGAGTTTATTTCGATCCTCGTACACGGTAATGTTTATGTGAGTAAAGTTTGACAGGAACAAAGTGTCTATACAGGGGCCAAAAAACTCACTAAAAAAGTTAGTACGAATTTGTTTGAATTAACGTATTTCCAGTGTCAAGGGATATATAGTTGATAACGGCCAGTGTTTATTCGTACAGGACTAGATACAATATACTCAGGTTTTTCATAGAAGATCTGCTTGACAATGCAAACTATAGTATGTCATTTTGCTTCGTCCGTTTCTACGCCGAATTTTTTTTTGTCGCTGTTTTTGTTGTTATCTTATCTAAAACAAAAAAAGCAAAGTAATGGCATCGCGTGAGTATGGCTATTTTCTCGACCACTTACAAACAGGTTTCACCACAAGGACAATCAGCGCATACACGTGACCCAGGTTGTTATCTCCTCTGCACATGATTGGTCCTCTGTCTTCCCAGCGAGTTTCCTAGATAATGAGATCTTTCCCAGCCATCACGTGGCGACCATCAGATAATGTCCGGAATGACCGAGTCCATATTATTTCCGGAGGTGGATATCCAAAGATGTTGCACGTTAATGTCGTATCCCAGGTCTCGTATCCCATGTGATACACTTCGGGGGCTTCTACAAAGCGTGGCGGCACTGCAAAAGAAGTGTAAGATTATTAAGCATGGAATAAAAACAACCACCAAAAAGATATTATTCTGTTCGTAAATTAATTTTTTACGCAGATTTTGGAGTTACCGACCTGGTTATAGGCATTGATAGATTGTGTTCGCAAATTTAGCATAATATGCTACTGGCAGTGCTCGTTTCCTATAATAATGCTATTTTTTTTTTGTAAATTGTGCTCATTAGCAAAAAAATGGAGAAATTATGATTGCACTTTTTACTTTTTATTAATTTAAAGATTAGGTGAAAACATCGCAATTACTATGCAATAAACAAACAAACACATTTAC